TTAAAAATGGTGTTTTTATCAAAAAAATAATTCAAAAGTTCAACTTTATATTTAAAATAAACCATTTTATTAACAATGTAATTTTTAATTAAATAAAATAATAAGTTAAAATACATAATATTAAGGTTATAAGAAAATTTAAAGTTTTTCAGTTATTTTACCACACACAATCTAAAATGTGTGTGTATCAAAATAATATTATACTCTGTATAATATTGAAAGGACTTTTATTTATTTTTTATAGGGCGAAACTTTATTTTTTTAATTAAGTGCAATAGATAATTTTAAAAAATTTCCAAATCAGGTATAAAAGGTGGGGTATATTTTGTTTTAAATCCATAATTATCAATTTGACATTAATGATTTATACCTCTCAATAACTGCAGATATTTTAGATAAAACAATTGAATTTACAAAAAGCCACACAGTTATTCCTGAAGAAACAATCTGCATAATAAAACATTGTAGAAAAGCCTTACTTTATTTTAATAAGGAAACATGGAAAAAGAAAAACATACATGACTGCTTTGAGGTAACAATGGGCAGTTATAATGGAGCAGAAATTTGTGAATTTGTTGGACTATATTTATATTAGATTTATTAAGTAAAATAATCAATATAAATGATTTAAGCCTTTATTGCGACAATGGTTCAATAGTTATGCATAAAAATCTGGTCCACAGCTCAATAAAATTAAAAAAGATATAAAAATTTTTAAAAATATTGGCTTTCAAATCGAAATAAACATAAATTTAAATATCCTGAACTTTCTTAACGTCACATTTAACTTCCCTGAAAATTTATGTAAGCCTTTCAAAAAACCAAACGATGAATTATTGTATGTTAATATTAATTCAAATCATTCACCCCAAATTCTAAAACAAATTCCGATTTCAATTAATAACAGGCTAAACCAAAACTCCTCTAATGAAAAAATATTCAATTCCTCTAAACAAATATTTGAAGATGCCCTTAAAAAAAGTGGTTTTGAAGATTTTGAACTAAAATTTGGCCCTGAAAAAAAGCGTACAAAAAAGCGATATAGAACTAAAAATGTAATTTGGTTCAACCCCCATATAGCAAAAATGTTTCCACTAACATAGGTAAAGTGTTTTTAAAATTAGTCGATAAGCATTTTCCGCCCTCTAATAAATTACATAAAATTTTTAATCGAAAAACAATTAAAGTTAGCTACAGTTGCACAAAAAATATGGAAAGAATAATAAAAGGTCACAATAATTCTTTGTTAAACAAAAAAGAAATCCTAAAGAAAAATGTACAGAAAATTGTAATTGTAAACAAAAATACCATGGTCCAACAAGTGGAAGTTGTTTATCTAAAAATGTGGTATATAAATGTATTGTTTCTTCTAAGAAAGCTTAATATATTGGCATAACAGAGGGTGAATGAAAAAAACGTTTTCCCAATCATAAGCAATCATTAAAAATAAAATGTATTCAAGACACCATGCTGTCAAAATATATATGGGAAATTAAAGATATAAACATTGATGATTTTATAATGAATTGGGCCGTCCTTAAAACAGCACCTGCATATAACAATAATTCTAAATAATGCATACAATGTCTTCAAGAAAAATTTGAAATTATTACACATGCAAACCAAGAATGTTTATATATATATATATATATATATATAATAAATATATATATATATATATATATATATATATATATATATATATATATATATATATATATATATATATATATATATATATATATATATATATATATATATATATATATATATATATATATATATATAGGCCTTGTTTTAGATAAAAAAATGCTGAATGCATTAGCCTATTGTGATTTTGATGTCATAAAATTGTTTTTGTTTTTATATATTATAAAGGCATTATTATTTTAATTCGCTGCAATAAAATGTTATACCGCAAAACAAGTTAAAAAATATTTACAAAACAAGTTGAATATTATTTTTAAATATTATTTATACTTGTTTTTCATTAATGGGTCAAATCATTATATTTCAGTCAATAGCCTGGAGTTACGATCTCTGATTTTCCTAGTTTTTACATATTGTTATGTGCATTATTTTGATATTATACTTGCTTCCCTCTCCTCATTAATTGTTACCACCCCCAACTTCCCTCCCCTCCCCCACTCACTCTTAGCTTAGGGGGTGTAGGTTGTTGTGTCCAAACAACATACAGACCATTGATCACCTAAATGAAAATAATATATAAAGAAATAACGCTTTTAATTTAAAATTAATTTAGATATTTATATATTAAGTATCTAATTATCTAAATTAATTTAGAGTCCTTCATTTTAAGAATAATGAAGGTCTTTAAAAAGTTATTGAACTCTTTATTTGAGCCCCTATCTACTATAAAGACCAGATCAAGGAGAGGGCAACCAACCATATATTTCTTTTTGTTAAGAAATTACTTAAAATTAGTTGTACCTTTCACATTGGCTGATTGGCAGGTTGGAGGGGTTTCTAATGCATTCAACCGTTGAAAAATAGGGTTATTTAAAAATGCTGGCATTTTTGGTGTAAATTTCACAAGTTATATGCTTATATTCTGGTAATATTACATCAAAACAAAGTGTTAAAAAGGTTTACAAGCATCTCAAAATGTCTAAAAATTTGACTTTTAGATTTATTTGAGTTCTAAACTGCAACAAGCTGCCTATATTTTGCCCATTTATTGCAGGCAATAGTAGCTAATCAGAAAACTCATGTAAATATTTATGGATGAATAGAAATCTGTAAAGATTTGTGGATGAATAGAAAAATGTTACAAGTAGTTAGTCATTTTAGCATATTCTAGCAGTTTTAGGATTTTTTCCACAGTTGAGGAGGTCATAAATTTTTTTTCTAATTTAATACAAGTTAATAAAAAGCACTTTTTCAATAGAAAACTATCCAGAAAAAAGTTTTAGAAAAAATGAGACACTTGTTGAAAGTGAGTAAATAGTTATACAGCTCTAAAGCTCTAAAATTACCGTTGTACTTTTGACCGTTGTACTTGGAAGTGTCAAATTTCAAATTTAACCTATTTAGATAATGCACATAACAATATATAAAAATTAGGAAAATCATAGATGGAAATACAAAGTTTCCATTAAATTGTTTGAAATATAATCATTTGACCCTATTACTAATAGGGAATGTTTATTTTTATATACTTTTTTTAATATAAATTAATTAAATTTAATAATGCATTTTTAAAAATATTTGATTTAAGCAAATATATTTCTTTTCTCAACATTTGTATAAATGAATTAAAATATGTAATTATTTTTAAATGATTTCTTAAATTTCTAATTCCAGCTTTGCAAGTAAAAATGATTTTTATTTTAAAAAAATTTGGGAATAATAAATAAAAAATTTAAAAACAAAAAATCGAAAAAGCAGTTGCCCTAAAAATAAACTAATTTTTTTTTAAGTATAATTAAAATTTTAAAATTTTAAAATATTTACAAATTTTCAAATTAATTTTACAGTTAATTAAAAACCCAAGCATTAACTTTAATTTTAAAAATATTTTTAATTCTATTATTAAATAATTTTTTTTAATCAGAATTAAATTATATGCTTTTTAAATCTAAATTAAATGATATATTTTTTTTTAATCAGAATAATTTTATCCATTTTTATCAAATATCATTATTAAATTATATAACTATGGTCTTTGCTTCAAGCCTAAAATCTGGGCGTTTTTCAAGCGAAAAAAATCAATCAATACAATAAAAATAAAATAAAAATAAAATCTCATAATATAAAACAACAACAAATTAATCTTTAATTTTTTACTCTTTTTTTTTATTTTTATTATTATTATTAATAATATCAAGCAGCAGTTGTTTCATCAACTTTTCAATGTAAGATTGACAACTTGTTTGTTGTTTCTAAAATAAGTGACATTTAAGCTTTTTTTGAGTTTTTAGTAATTGATCTTTTAATAAGTTATATGAAATATATTCCCTGTAATATAACCAGCATAAACTTTAAATTATTCTTTGGAAAAATGAAAAAGAAAAAAACATTTTTTTGCCTCTCAAGAACTTACTTTTTAAATTTTTTATAAAATGGAGTATATCAAATAATTAATATGTTTTAAATAAACCTTTTATAAACTGGATGATAAATAAATTGTTTTTAATTTCCAGTATACGCTTTATGAAACTGTGAAAACGCATTAAAATTGTTAAAATGGTTATTGGTAAAAACAGTTCTTATTTTAAATTTAGATTGGTGCATAAGGTAATTCATTGTAAGGTGATTACATATACATTCATCAATTTCTTTTTGTAAACAAAAAACTGTTATTTAAACTTAAGAAAAGGTTTTATAAGAATTGATTTTAAAGCCCATGCAACAACTTGCTTCTAGTTGCTTTATAAATTTTTGAACAATCATAAAAACAAAAACAATTTCTTTTTAAAGATTACTTTCTCAATTTTCATCAATTCATTTACTTTGATATTGGGCTGATGGCAAGAAGCACTCAATTACTTAATACACAATTTCTGTCATTAATTTTTTTAACTTACTACAGTTTGTTAATTTGTAATTTTCATGTAACCATTTTGATAAATTAATATGATTATAAAACAATGTGTAGTTAAGATTTTTAATAACATCTATTGACTTCAAAAACAGTTGGTATTTTAAAATTATTAAATATTAAATACTCAAAATAAAGTATTAAATATTAAATATTAAAAATAAAGTAATAAATTGTTAATGCATTTTTGATTGCATAGTTGTTAATAACACTTCAATAAAGAAATATAGAAATTATGCATACTGGTAAAATTTACCATTTACATCTGTAAAAGATATGTAAAACTGTACATTTTGTACAAAATATACAGTTTTAAAGTTCACCATTAATTTAATATTTTATAAAAATAAACAATAAATATTTTTATCCTTTTTATTACCTTTAAGTAATTTTTTGATTTAAGATTGTCAAAAATTATTTAACAATTTTATTTGTTTAGATACAAAACTATGGCTTCTAATCTGTCTTATCAAAATGGTGAGATTTTATTTATTATTTAATTTATTATATAATTTAATTTTCATTATCAAATAAAGAAAAAACTAAACAGTTGCTGTCCCTTTTCAATATAAAAACCAAATCAAGGTGGTGGCAACCAACAATATTTTTATTTTTGTTATGAAATGACTTATATAGTTGCAGCTTTTAAAAGAGCCAATAGGTTGGTTAGTTAGTTAGTTGGCTCTAGTTTTTAATAATGCATTCAACCATTAATAATTGAAAAATCCAATGGTATTATAAACTGGGTCTGATGGTATTATAAGCTTTTAATCTTATATAAATATATATTTTTAAAAAAATTTTCAAGCATCTTGAAATGACTGAAAGTTGGAATTTTATAGCGGATGAGAACCCTATCCGTAAATAGGATTTTTTTTTTTTTTTTTAATTTTTTTTTTTTTTTAATTTTTTTTTTGTCAGTGATTAATATTTTTTTATACCTTTTTAATATATTTTTTAGTGAGTTTTAGTTTTTTTTATAAAATTAAGGAGTTGTCATTTTTCTCAAATTCAGCACAAGTTTGGTAAAAAACACAATTTTAAAGACCAGAAATTAATTTAAAAAAGATTATAAAGATAGATTATAATAAAAAGATTTTAAAAAAGAAAAATGTTGTAAAATATTTATTTTTACCATTTTTAATTTAAAAGGACCATTATGTTATGTTTATAAGGCTATAATTTCGAAACTGTTATACTTAGAAGTCTGAAGTTTCAAGCATAACCTTAATAATTCAGATGAGGATATATAAGAAACAGAATAGTGTCCCATAACATTTTTTTAAAAATTAGCTGAAACATAATGAACTGACCTTACATTGCTTTCTAAAACATGACAGTTGTATTTTTAAAAATTTTACTTTTTTATCTGTTTTTATCCCAACTAAATCTTTTGCATCCTAATGTTTTTTATTTTAAATTAAATAAATTTTGTTGAAGCGCTAAATTGATTAATCTCTGTTCTGGGTAATTTTACATCAAATCATTTGGTCTCTAGAACGGTGTGCCTTTCTTTTTGTTTAATGTTTTCACACACTATTGCTATTTATAAGAATACATTGAGTGCAAATTTTGTTTCAAAATGCCCAAGATCGAGAATTTAGTAATGGTTTCCTGAAATGACTTGGTTTTTTTAAAATATAAAAAAAATGTTTATCTTAATAAACTAAAGATTAACATCTTAATAAACTAAAGATTATCTTAATAAACTAAAGATTAACATATTTTTTTTTTTTTTTTTTTTTTTTTAACATCTTCACTTCCAACAAGGCTGCAAGCAACCACTATAAGAGTTGGAAGTTACTGGAAGAGAAAAAACTAAATCTGTAGAGCAAGATAACGATTGACTGATGACTTAAAAGATTGCAAATTATATGAATCAGGAAAGCAAGATGAAGGAAGCGAATTCCAAAGAACTGATGTTCGAGGAAAAAAACTAGAAGAATAAGAGTTTTTGAAGCACTTAGGAACAGTCACAGAAAAAGGATGAGACTTAATTGAATGGCGAGTAACACGAGAATGAATTTTAGTAGATGGCACAAGGGACGCTAGCTCTTTAGAGCAGTGCCCATTATAGTATTTGCAGAAAAGAGAAAGAGAGGCAACATTACGACGATGTGACAAAGGTTGGAGATTGGCTGCCAGAGCAGGTCCATAGCAAAACATATGAAAAAATAGCAAAAGTATGAAAATAAACACATTAAGTGTTTTTGCAGAATTCATTAAATATAAAGAATTGAATAAATATACCTATAATACTGAAATATGAAAAAAACATTCTTAAAAAGCAATGAAACAACAAGTATATTTAAAACACTTTCGAGGCTTGATATCTTAATAATATTTTCCTTTTTTTCTTTTTTAGCTACTTGAAAGTTTATCGCCAATATCGCCAAATAGTTTAACAAAGATTTAAGTGGAAAACAACAGTTACATATAGAACTATAACTTCAAAAATAAATTACTTTTTCAATAAATTAGAGCATCAGGTTGAAGTAGTTCTTTTTAAGATAGTGGATGATTGTGTAGTTGGTGTCTGTACTACACTTCTTTACCCTAACCCAGTTGTCCCCAACTGATGAAAGCTACAAGTACCAGAATTACTGCAATATTGTACTTTTCTTGCTGTCCTTTATGTTACAATTGTAGTTCATACTTTTTATGCTTAAGTAAAACATAATAGCAAATAAAAAAGTTTTTGTTAAATATAATAACATTAACTCAAAGTAAAATTTTTGTTTAAAGTTTCTTCAATCTTAACAACTACTAATAAAAATCACATTCATAAAAATTAATTCAATTTATATTATTTAACGTATTTTTTATGTTAAGAAATTTTTAGACTTTTATTTTAACAAATTTAATTATAAAATTGAAAAATATATGAAATAAATATATATATATATATATATATATATATATATATATATATATATATATATATATATATATATATATATATATATATTATATATATATATTTATATATATATTTATATATATATATTTATATATATATTTATATATATATATATATATATATATATATATATATATATATATATATATATATATATATATATATATATATATATACATATATATATATATATATATATATATATATATATATATATATATATATATATATATATATATATATATATATATTTTATATATATATATATATATATATATTAAAACGATCAAAAAAAGGTGATTGACTTAAGCTAGCTGCTAGCTTTTTTCTTTATTTGTTTTTGTTTTTGTTTTAAAACCAAATTTATTTATTATTTTTTTTTTTAACAGTGGTTAATCCCTCTCTCAACACTTAAATTCTAAAAATGAAACTTAATAAACAATGCTACTGTGCAAAGAAAAAAGTTGAGTTAGAGCCGTTAATAAAAAGATTTTAGTAGACAAATTTCAATTTTAAAGTGTTTTCCAGAAAACTTGAATCAACATAATTTAAAAAGTTTGTTAAAAGTAATAACATAAAACTTGAGTAAAAGTTTTTTCAGGCAGAGTAACAAATACAAAATTGTCAAATATAACTACGTTGATTCTAAATAAAATGTTTGAAAAAATTCTTCAATTTTGAAGCAATAAAAATCATTCCACTAAAAGTTACTTTCATTAAATTTATCAGAAATTTTGTGTCAATTTGTATGTAAGTGGTAGTGGTGTAGTGATAGTGTGCTTACTTTATAAACAGGAGGTTCCGAGTTCAATCTCCATTATGTACCTGGTAGTACTGCACTTAACTTGTTTCTCTGCATATCAGCCTTGTTCGTCAAGATATGTGTTTCAGGGTTATGGAGTTAAGAGAGATTTATATTTACAATTAAGAAGCCTCCTTGCTTTTAGTAGCCTTCTTAGCCTTGGGGAGGTAAATTTAAATAAAAAAAGTATATTTTTATAAATATATGTCTATATAAAAGTATGTATAACATATACAATAATATAATATATAATAATAAAACAGTTGTTATAGTAATAATGATCATTATTAGCAAATCATGATGATGGCTTTAATAGAAATTGTTTTGTTTTATTTAGATTTGGCAAGGTTGTCTGCTGAATTTAAAAATTTTTATCTTAAGTATTATGGAAAAATTGGTGAACTACAACCGCTATTACAAGAAATTGGTGAACTACAACCGCTATTACAAGAAATTGGTGAACTACAACCGCTATTACAAGAAATTGGTGAACTACAACCGCTATTACAAGAAATTGGTAAACTACAACCGCTATTACAAGAAATTGGTGAACTACAACCGCTATTACAAGAAATTGTTGAACTACAACCGCTATTACAAGAAATTGGTGAACTACAACCGCTATTACAAGAAATTGGTGAACTACAACCGCTATTACAAGAATCTGCAAAATTAAATCAAAAGAGAAATCTGATAAATAAGACTTTTGATTTTAGTGTTGAACAAAATTTATTTTTTGAAAACCAAATGAGTTATACACCAATTAAATATAGTGAAATATTTTCAAATGAAAAATCAGTAATATTAATATCTGGAATAGCTGGTATTGGGAAAACATGGTTGCTTAAAAAATGTTTGCTTGATTGGTCAAATGGTTTAATTTGGAAAAATATTGAATTTGTTTTTTATTTGGAATGCAGAAGACTCAATCAATATCCAAATATTTCGAATATTAATGAATTACTAAATGTTTTCTTCAAAGAGCTTGTAAATGACTTTAAATTTAATAGTCATACTACAATGTTTATAATCGATGGATTAGATGAGTATAAATATTTTAATGAGTTATTAAATCCAAGTTTGACTAACACTCCCATTGTTAAAGTTTTACAAGAAATTCAAAAATACAAACATGTACTTGCTGGTAGAGTTTATGCAATAGATCAATACCAAAGTATATCTACAGAACATAGCCTTAAGTTAACCATTCAAATAATGGGGTTTAATGAAAATAAAATAAATAATTATATAGAAAATTATGTTGTGGAAGAAAAAAAAGAAGTTGTAAAATCAACTTTAAAGGAGTCTCAAATTGCAAAAGTCATGGCATCTGTTCCGTTTTATTTATCTTTAATGTGTAAAACTATAAGTGATTCACAAAATATTGATTCAAATTCTTTCTTAACATTGACAGATTTGTATGCAAATATTTTTTTATATTTTTTGCAAGAACACATCATTAAAAACAATAAATTGATTTATGAGATAATGGAAGAAAGTTCCAATAAAAATTATATTTTAAATATTTGTAAAATTGCATATAAATTGTTTGTTGAAAATAAAATATTTTTTTCTGAAGATGAAGTTCAAAGTTTTTATAGTGACGTTGATAAAAATGAAAGCAATTATTTTGGATTTATAGAAAGGATTGAAACAGATCACGATTGTTATTATCAGTTCGTAAATTCAACAATAATGATGTTTTGTGCATCAGTAT